GCAAATGCATCCGACAATCATGAACAAGGTGGACACTGCGCCACCAAGAGCTACGATTGACAATTGAACCGCCAGCTAATGATTTATCAGGTGATAATAAAACAGAACAACATATAGAAGGAACTAATCGAAATATTGAGGAGGCGGCTTATCCTGCCGAAGCATATGATGTTTCAGATTGTGGTTCGCATTAAAGTTTTTTTTTTTAAAAAAGATTTGATACCGTTTACCACTGCATACAGTATTCCCCAAAAATAAACCCCTTGATAAAGACTCACCGCTTACCTGGATTAATTCTTGAATAATACCTTGGGGTATCACTATGTTAATTTATTACTTTCAGATGATATATCACTCACAGTACCCACGGGTATTATTCGATTTAAAAAATGAAGTTCTTGAATAAGACCCGAGTACTATATGCAGTGGCAAACGTTAAGTATTTCGTGTAACGTTAACATCTTATATTCTTCTATTTTTCTATAGAACATGACTTAAACAACAGCGAAAAGGGTAAAAGTCGTAGTGATCTTGACTCAAGAACCGAGAGTCCTTATGGATCATGCTCTCCAAATAACGGGATTAATGATTATAATAAATATGGGTTGGGTATGGGTGCAGGAAACGATTTTTTCTCCAGCAAAGGAATTAATTATAGTTTGAATTATCCACATATACCTGGCAGTGGTAATCGGTGTTCGCGAACAATTTATACTGCATGGAGTTTAGATAACCTAATCCCCGTATCTAAGGAGGAAATTGAGGACATTTTCATTGATCTTACCAATAAATTTGGGTTTCAAAAAGATAGCATGCGCAACATGTTTGATCATTTCATGTGTATATTAGATTCTCGCGCTTCTCGAATGGCCCCATCGCAGGCTTTATTGACTCTTCATGCCGATTATATTGGTGGGGAGCATGCTAATTATCGCAAGTGGTACTTTGCAACTCAAATGTATTTAGATGATGCTCTCTCTGATGTAGGCGTTGGAATAATTATCCATGATCAAAAAAATGTTAATCTTTATGAACAGTGGAATCAACGCATGAATAGAATGTCTCAGCATGACCGTGTTCGCCAACTCGCGTTATGGCTTTTATTATGGGGTGAAGCTGCACAGATTCGTTTTACTAGTGAATGTTTATGTTTTATATTTAAATTGGCAGATGATTATGCCAAAAGTCCAGAATATAAAGTAAAAGTGCTGCCTGTTCCTGAAGGTGAATATCTTAAAGATGTCATTACTCCACTCTACAAATATATTCGTGATCAAAGTTATGAAATCATTGATGGAACGTTCGTCAAGAGAGAAAAAGATCACGCTGATACAATCGGTTATGATGACATAAATCAATTATTTTGGTATCATGAGAGCATCAATCGTATTGTTTTACAAGATAACGGAACTCCTCTTATGGCTTTACCTTTAAGTAAGCGTTATAAAATGCTTTCCCAAGTAAACTGGAATCGTGTTTTTGAGAAGACTTATAAGGAAAAGCGCACATGGTTTCATCTTGCCGTCAATTTTACACGTATATGGATTATTCATGTCGCAGCCTTTTGGTATTATACTGCTTATAATGCTTCGTTCCTTTATACAGACCCCGAAAAACCTGAGCTGGCGGTTCAATTGTCAATCGTAGCTCTTGGTGGCGCAGTGTCCACCTTGTTCATGATTGTCGGATGCATTTGC